GAGCACAGAAATTGACGATGCAAGCAGGTTCCAGGAGGCACGTGTTCACTAACTTGACGGGTCACCATTTATGGCTTTCGTCTATGGACACCATTTTAGGATTGCTGCAGAAAAATGATGGTAGGTGAAAAATCATGAAAGTGAAGCGGAAGAGAGGTGAGCACGTGCTACACCGATGGCAGCCAGTAACAGAGTAACCAGTCTGAATTTTCCCCTAGTGGAGAAGAGGGAGAAAGCTGGTAGTGCCCTCTCTTGGGCCAGCGGACAAATAATAATAATAATAATAATAAAGAGTTCTCCCCAATCGTTTGCAACCTTTGTATATTATTTACATATTGATGTAATGAATTTATAACATTCATATCAATACAAGTAATTTCACTGTTTTATCTGATTTGCTTCTTCAGCCTTTCACTAAACTTTGTAGTCTACTCTTTGAAGTTAAGTCATCAAATTATACCATAAAAGCAAGCCTTTCATACTGATATAACTGCATTAGTTAACAATTCTCGATTTGGTACATTTTTGGTACTCGATTTGGTATTCTCGATTCAGTTAGGTAAATGTAGCTGCTGCTAATATATTATCGTTCTGATCATTTCTTCAATGTACCGCATCTCTACTATACATTTGATTTGTAATCAAAATGTAGTTTGTCAACATGAAATACATACTATTTGTACAAACTAAAAGATGCTGTATAGAATATCTTTTTACAATAAGATGATTTATACAATTTCCTTAAATTCTAGGCGATATATGTGTATGTATGTATATTTATATAACTACAATTTTAGCTTTAAATTTCTTTCCATTTAGCCTTTTGAAGTTATTTTGTATGAACAAAAAGCAGATATCGTCTTACATAAACATTACATATTCTTACATTCTAAATTATGAATAAATACTCGCTGAAAATGAATATGTTAATAAACATAACTAATAAATTAAGCAAATGAAATTTACACAACTAAAAGCATACATTCAAGATTCTGCATGTGTTTGTTTCCTTATCATTTTATATTTTTATGACAATCAACCATCTCAGAGCTTAAAATCAGTATTTTGAAATTTTGTAAAATCACAACAGAATACTGAATTAATTATATTTTTTATGAGCAGATTCATATCTAATTTATTTTTATAGAGCATTGTTTCCTGCTGAAATGAGGCAGTTTATGTGTCCCATAGCAACATTTGTTTTACATCCTGCAGTATTCTGGGAGAGAGAAGTCAACTTGTAGTTTTCTTATTAAAAACATAAGATATGTTTGGATTTAGAGATCTGGCTGGCCTATCCTTCTGGTTAATATCCTGCCCATTCAGTTAATCATGCCCAGAAAATTACCCATTGGATTCGCCTTATATGTATGCATGTAGTCCTACATAAAAATGAACTCGGGGCCAACTACAACCCTGAGAAAGCAAGTTCTAAGATCTCTTCTCTATTTCTTGCAGCAGTCGCAGATCCTTTCCAAAGAGCATGAAGGCTGTATACCAATCCAACATCATTCCTAGACAGACCGTGAAACCTCCACTACTATGGTAGTTCCTTTCTCTGATGTTAAGAGGATGGATAGCTAGTCCCTGATTCTCTCTACATACATGTATGACAAGAAATGATAGGCTGAATCAGGACTCAACTATGAAAATACTGTTGTTGTTGCTGCTCATCCCCTTGGTTTAGCCCCTTAAACCAAGTCAAAAAGATCATATCAATGCATCATCAACAAACTCTTCCTCATCCAACAGTTGCTGCACAGAGGCACTAATACATTCAATGGTATGAGAGAGAAATGTGATGTCTGAGCAGTGACAATAGGCTCAGAGCTTTGCAATGAGCACTTTGCAGTGTACCATGTGGGATCTTCAAATGTTATTAACATTGGTCAAAAACAGGGAGTGGACCTCAAAAGCTCGTAATTTGGAGGAAGGGGTAGTGAGGAGTTCACTAGTCTCTCTAGCAAGCAGATCAGAAATTAAATTCACATGGGAAGGAATCTGTGGTCTGAGTTTCTAAGACAATATCTAGACTCCCCTTTATTTGTTTTCATAAAAATAGCATTACCCATTCATCTAGAGTCAGATTTGTTTCCATCAGTGTAGATGACCAGAACATGAGAAGGGATATTAATAAACTCAAGAGCCAGCTGAGGCAGCAACTCTGGATGTTCATGGTGTTTGGTAAAATTTATTTTCAACTCGTCATTAATTGGCAATGTACTTTGCGAAGTTTGCTTTTCTTCTCAAGGATAATGGCTGAAGATCAGCCTCAAAAAGGACAATATCATTGGAACAACAGTTTTTGAGACAAGTGATAATTCTGGCTGCACTTAATTCAATTTGCATTAATTTTTTCAAATTACTAGGTGCAGTAATCTGATAAATCTGGTAGCCATACTCAAGGACTGGTCAAATGAGGGCAGTGTAGGTAATTCTGAGAGTTTTAGCATCCATTTCCCAATCACTGCCAAATATGTATTTTAAGAGCTGTAGCCTCTTTCTACATTTTTCAGCAAGTCTACTAATATTCTCACTACTGTTGATTTCAATATCCAGAGTAAAGCCCAGTAAGTAGGGATCTTGGTAAATTCAAGCAGTTGTCCCTTTAGATAAATCATTGGCTGATAATTGAAAAAAAATGTCTGTTAGAAGAGAAGAGGCAGCTTTGAGTTTTAGTAGTATTAAAAATCAATTTATGCTTCTCTGCAAAATGCTGGATTGTCTTCAAGGTAGTACTGAGAGAATTTTCCAATTTATTTAGATATGAATGATAGTCCCAAATCATTACATCATCAACAAATATGCCTATTTGACAAGGGCACTAATGCAAACAATCACTAATGTTTGATTGAAATTCACTAACGTTCTCTGCACTATGCTAAAGGTCTTGTACACAAATGTGAACACGATTCAAAAGGCAGCTGATCTTGCAGCCTTGTGTTCACATTTTCAAGAATGCAGTTGATTCTCAGTTCATTTTCATAAATAAAAGCACCTGTTTACATAGAGCTAATTCTGTAAATAATTTAACTGGATAAATAGGCCAGCCAAATCGGCAGATCTACCAAATAATGGAAATGCAATGACAGTGGGTTCTTCACAAAAAAATGCACATTTTATATTCACAGTCCAAGATTAAAGACCAACAAAAACAATATTTGATCTGACAGTATGACTGAGGACTATAATAACCTGAATATTGTTGTGATTTATCTTAATTGTCTGATAGAAACATCAAAACATCCACAAATTTTATCATGGCTAGGAGCACAATATTGCATTTATTGTTGGAATGGCCCTGGGTTATAGGTGATATTATACCCACTTCCATCTCAATTTTGAAGAATTTCGTAGCAGACAAGTCAAGGGTCTTTTACACCTATTTCTCTATCACCAAACTACTTAAGAGGACTTCTGGCTTGCTATGTATTTTAAGTATCCCCATGCTGCAAAGCTACTATAATACATTTACAAACATCCAAGCCTTCTATCGAAATTCAAACTCAGCCCAACAACATGGCGACCCAAAAATGTGTATGTTATGTAATGGCTGTGAATACTATAATGTGATGTCTTCATACAGCTGTACACTGCGCAAAAAAAAGGGGGGACAGTTCTATATCTCTTGTTCTACTGGGCCGATTGACGAAATTCAACTTGCGTTTTTCATGTCTCAAAAGCGCGACTTAGGATATGTATTAGATTTATATATAGCATTGTTCTAATACAGGTATTTTGACAAAAAATCAGACTTTTTCTGAAATAACATACCAATTTTTTCCCCATATTTCAATTCAACAACTCAAATTATGCCAAACTACCATGTTTTGTAAAAATCGCTCGTGCAGTTTTTCAAAAATTAGCTCTCAAAATTTTAGCTCCTTAATGTTAATTGAGTTTGGTATATATTTATTAATCTCTCTTTTTCTATTAAACTTATTTGATTCTTTCTTTCATATTTTGAAATTCAGGTTCAATCCAAATAAAATTCATCCATTTTTTATGATTTATTTTTTAATTTTATACTTTTAAATAATTTTTATAAATTTTTCAAAAAAATTTATATCTATAAAATAGAATCTATCTAGAATTATAATCTATAAAATTTTTACCATCATCTTAAAGTAGACATATTTCTAAGCATACCTGCAAAAAATTGGTTTTTTATTCAAAATTTCCGAAGATATACGTGAATTTATATATTGCCGCATTTTGAAATTTGGCATATTTGTTGAAAGCGATAAAACATCAAATGTGGTTTACATATTTTGCTAAAATTATTTGAAAGTAGGCATGAAGTGACTTTTTTTCCGTCATGCACAATGCAAAAAGGTAGGAACAAGGTGCCTTTTTTTCCCCCCCATTCCGGCATAATGGAAGGGAAAAGAAAATTGGTTCCATATGTTAAGAAGTTCGGCAAGCGAATTATTCTTGGTGCAAACTGAAAAAATTGTGCCAAGATAAGTTTTTTAATTTCTTGGTAAATTTTACAAAATTTAATATCTAGGCATAATTTGAGTCTTAGAATCGAAATATGGAAAAAATTGGTATGCTATTTCAGAAAAAGTCAGATTTTGTGTCAAAATACCTATGCTGAAACAATGCTATATATAAATCTAATATATCCTAAGTCGCGCTTTCGAAACGTGAAAAACGCAATTTGAATTTTGTCAATCGGCCCATTAGAACAGGAGATATAGGAACTGTTCCCTTTTTTTTTCGCAGTATACCATTGCCATTCATATTCCAACTTTACACACTACTTTTGTATAGCAACTAGAAAATACATTGAAACTAGTCATAAAGTTACACACTAGCATGACTCCAGTATTTAAGCTTCATCATCTCAATAAAATATGTTGATTTTAACATGCACTGTAGCAAAAGGTTAGTCAACCAGTAACTTTTAAAAGAAGACATTCCAGTAGTCTTTAAAATGTTAATAGTGTGTCCCTGTGTTATGCCTTAAAAATATAAATATTTTAAAAAAAATTTACTTTTATCTTCAGTTGCATGTGATCCAAATTTCCACATTGAAGTAAGCAACTTTTCAGTAACTTCTATTGTGTCATTAGAGACAGCAAACAAATCATCTATTGTCATTAAAGAAGCCAACTGGCAAAGACTATAACACAACTATAAGAAAACATATATATTATTACAATTGAAATAATGATGTAACTAGGACAAAATAAGTATAAAAAATTATATATATATGCATGTATTAAAATACAAAAATAATTACAATATGGAAAAGGCTGTTTTATCACTGTCAAATTCTAATTTTAATCAGATTCCAATTTTTCATTATTAGTTATTATCTAAGTAATTTTTTCAGCTTAACTTTTCATACTTACTTGGTCATTCAAATTTTCTTGATGTTTAATTTCTTTAAAATTAACTTCTTCAGTTGCTGAAGAAAGAACAAAGAGAATATTTTTCCATATACTTGGTAATAAAGATCCATACAATTCTCGAGACTCTAAAACTGTCAAAGCTTGAGCAGCACTGATACGAACTTTAAAATTAGGGGATTTTAAAATGTTCAACAATGAGTGTAACAAATCATCCTAAACAATAAAATAAGATAGTAAATACAAAATTTTTAAAATGATGAATGATATTTCATACTTGATAATGGTATGTACAATGCGCAAAAAATGGGGAGGGACAGTTCCGTATTTCCCGTTCTACTGGGCCGACTGACAAAATTCAAATTGCGTTTTTCATGTCTCAAAAGCACGACTTAGGACAGAGATGGGCAAACTCCGGCCCGCGGATAGAATTTTAATTTGCCGGTGAGAGGCAAATTAAAAGAAATATATATTTATATATTATATATTTATCTCCTTTTCTACTTTGTTTAAATATTTTTTTTTTCCCAATGGATTGATGATCTTTTTACTTTCTCTATTTTTGTTCTACAAAACATAAATCGACGGAAATAGCAAGCATAGACAGCTTTCAATCGGTAAAGTGTTTGGCAGAAGTTCTTTGTTACTTGTAGATTGGAGCCAAAAAGCATTATTTCTTTCTCGGGGAGCAGACATATGGGAATCCAGTATAGGTGAATGAGACCTCACATGTGGCAGACTGCGCATTTTAAGCTGCAGCCAGCGGCTTTTTCTTTTGGTGCAGTTCTAATAGTATTGATTGTGCATGGAAAGATTGCGGCCATATAGCATCATTGTGAATAGTGGTGAAATTATTAAAAGTACAAGTAGCTAGTGCTTGTTTGGGTTAATTGTAAAATATTTCAACCTCAAAATGGCTACTACAAAACGTAAAGTTGATTCAGAGTGCCATGCTTTTAATGATGAATGAACCTGGAAATATTTTTTACAGTTGTAAAAGATAAACCTGTGTGTCTCATCTGCAATGAAGCTGTAGCAGTCTTCAAAGAATATGACATTTCCTGTCATTTCACATTTCAAGATTTCAGTGCCATTCAAACAGAATTGGATATTTTTACCATGCCTCTCAACGTAAATTGTGAATCAGTGAGGTCAGATTTGCAGCTTGAATTAATTCAGTTGCAATCTAACAATCATCTCAAGCAGTTGTTTCTAAATATGCCAAAGTTAGAGTTTTACAAATCATTATCCTACAAGTAAGTTCCCAAATTTAATATCTCATGCCCAGAAAATTAGTGCTATGTTTGCTTCATCTTATATATATGAACGAGAGTTTTCATCTATGAACCTTAGAAAGAATTATTTCAAAAGTAGACTGGCAGATGAGCATTTAGCCTCGCTCCTTAGAATCAGTACATCTCACATCGAACCTCAATATAAGGAACTTTCAAAAATGAAATTGGAATTTCTTTCATCTCATTAGCATATTTAAATTGCAATACTTGTATACTGTTTTTAAAATTTTAGAAAAACTTATCTTGGCCCGCCAACTTTTTTTTTTTTCGACTTTTGGCCTGTGACCGAAAACGTTTGCCCATCCCTGACTTAGGATATAAATTAGATTTATATATAGCATTGCTCTAACATACGTATTTTGACATAACATCGGACCTTTTTCTAAATAACATTCACCAAGAATAATTCACTTCGCGAACTTCTTAATTTATAGCAACCTATTTTCCTTTCCTTTTTTTTTTTTCATTGTACAGGAGGGGCGAGGAGAGGTCATCGTTCATAATTTCAGAATAATTTTACCAAGGTGCGTAAACCACATTTGGCATTATTATTGCTTGCACTAATTTTTTGTAGGTATGCTTAGAAATACATCTACTTTAAGATGATGGTAAAAATTTTATAGGGTGATAATTCACATTTTTTTCGAAAAATTTCTAAAAATTATTTAAAAATACCAATTTTAAAAATAAATAATAAAAAATGGGTGAATTTTATTTGGAATAACTTAAATTTCAAAATGAAAAGGAATCAAAAAAGTTTAATTAAAAAAAATGTTAATAAATATATACCAAATTCAGTTAACATGGAGGAGCTAAAATTTTGAGAGCTAATTTTTTAAAAACTACCCATGCGATTTTTACAAAATTTGGCATTTTGGCATAATCTGAGTTGAAGAAATGAAATATGAAAAAAATTGGTATGTTATTTCAGAAAAGTCCAATTTTGTGTCAAAATACCTATGTTAGAACAATGCTATATATATAAATATATATTCATATATATGCAATATATCTTAAGTCAAAAATATATTATTAGTCTAAAAAATATATTATGCAATATATCCTAAGTCATGCTTTTCGAGACATGATAAACGTAACTTGAATTCCGGCAATCAGCCCAGTATAATGAGATATATAGAACTGTCCCCCCTGCAGCGTACATAAAAAAGTACTTATGTATTAGTGCAACCACCTCAGTAGAAGTCACCAAGTTTTCAAAATGTGCCAAACTTTGGCAATCATGCTCATAACAATCCTTTAGTCAAGCAACACCCCTATTTTCGTATGCATTTTCTTTTGTTGTATCCCAAGTTTCAATGGTTTTTATAAACAAATCATAATATATATTCTTTGCCTTGGTTTAAAAGTGTAAGCTTGTGCAATTTTCCAGCAATGGAAGAAACTGCCATAAAATTTCTGCAGGAATATAGAATTTTGTTAAAAGTTCTCTAAAGGAAAAAATGAGAAAATTTTCTAAAGAAAAAATTATATTTTTTCAGGCAAAAACTTTTTTTTTTTTTTTTTTTTTTTTTTTTTTTTTTTTTTTTTTTTTTTTTTTTTTTTTTTTTTTTTTTTTTTTTTTTTTTTTTTTTTTTTTTTTTTTTTTTTTTTTTTGTTTTTTTTTTTTTTTTTTTTTTTTTTTTTTTTTTTTTTTTTTTGTTTTTTTTTTTTTTTTTTTTTTTTTTTTTAGTTTTTTTTTTTTGTTTTTTTTTTTTTTTTTTTTTTGTTTTTTTTTTTTTTTTTTTTTTTTCTTTTGAGAAGAATAGTGCAAGAAAATTGCAGAAAGATTTGAAAAAGGATTTAACCAATTTATGCTTCCTTTCCCATGAAGGTCACAGGAGAGGAAAAAAACATTTTTTTAGACATATTAGAATCTAATTAAGAGAAAAGAATATAACAAGGGAAAAAATTATTTTAGTAGAAGAAAATGTTGAGAAATAGCAACATCAGACTAAACCAATTACTTTTGGGATACACGGAAATCTTTGAACATTTGCTATATAAAGGCACATTAACATTTATTAGAAATAGTTATTGTTTGGCTACCACAGTATTTGCATCTTTTATTTTTGTTCCTTAAATTTTTCTTGGAATTGTGGGTCTTTTCTAGTTTCACTTCGAAAGAAAGAAGGTTGCCCAACACAATCAGTATATGAAGATGAAGGCTGTGAATTTCAGAATATTTACCCTTGTTTTCAACAGTGGCAGCACAGCACTTCTTTGAAAATCTAACACGGAAATTTTGGGGTCTAGAGCAGTCTTACAAATTTTCCATGCATTTGATTTAGCTACGTCAATAAAATTTGTAAAAATAGGCCCACATCATTTCTTAACTTTTACTAGCAATCTATATACATAGATTGTAATAAAACTATCCAGACGGTCCATGCCATGCATATATTTGCTGTAATTTCTGATGAATTTAGGTTGTTTTATGAATACAGATCTATTTCCTATTCGTGTATACCTCTTGGCCACTGAAAGCAAATAAATTGTATCTGCTATAACGAAATTGTTGTTCCATCAAATTGCTGAAATGTCATGCTCTTTATCAAATGAGGTGTCATATGTTCCACATTCTTTTTTCTCCATTTTATTTACAAGTATAATATGGCAATTTCCTAATTTGTATTCAAGAACTGTTCCAGCTGCATGAAATTTCAGCTCATTGAATTCCAACAACAACATGTGTGACATAAGATAGTTGTCAAAATATACATACTGATTTGAATTCCGCCACGCTTAAAAGTTACTGATATTCTACCATACTTTAAGACCTGTTACAACATCTCTACCTAGTCCACAATCAGTCAATGTCTTTGAAGATTTTCCTGAATATATATCAAAATGATATATATACTATTCATAGGAGCACAAAACACCAAACTTTATATTCAAAATGAATGGGTTTTCCTCTGAGAAACATTTTGCATAGTTGTCTACCAAAATATCATTTGCTCATCTATAGAAAGATGTGTTGAAAAAAACTTTATTTTGCATGAAACTGCATTTAAAATATTAAAAAAAACACAAACTCAGCCAGTTTTTTTGTTTTTATCCAATGCATTACTATCAGCTCAATGGAATTTCTTCTTGCTATTAGTATGTGTAGAAAATGTCATTTCTGAGCATATTAATGGATTCTTTGTCGACAAACATCAATGAGCGTACAGAAGAACAATTTTTCCAATTTCTGTTTTAGATTCAGAATTTATTTTATCATTTTTTGATGAATTCTATATATTATTACATTTTTTATGTGAAAAAATCTCAATCTCACCTAAAACATCTTTCTGCATTTTAAAATTATTCACTCTCTCTAACATATCATCATCAATCCATTCCATATCAGTCATAATGTATGGCTCAAGGAAAATCACTATTAAATCTATTTCATTTGATTATCTTCATCTTAATTCTAAAACAACATATCCATCTAAGTTTTCATAAATTACAATGCTTCATTCATGTTTAAAACCACTATCTTGAATATTAATTATTTTGGAACAGTTGTTTCATGTAATTTGTGAAGAAAATCATTATGTATTCATACAGAGACTGCTTTGAAATGGCATTCAATCTTCACAACATTTTAAAAAATGCATATTTATACCAACAAAGACAAAATAATAACTTTACCTTTTGACAACATTATACAGTTAATGTTTCTAGAAGATTGGCGTGTCTTTATAAAATTATTTCATTGGTTGTTCCATCTATGATATCTACTCAAAATTAAAAGGGAAAAAACTTTGCAAAATATATAACCAAAGCTATAATTTATTTTTATCGTGAGAGAAAATTTTTTTGGGGCCAGATTCAATGAAGTTTTATGTACAATATAACAAAAAAGTTACAGAATAAAATACTATAAAGAAGCTGAAAAAATGTTTCGACTAATGTTGCGAAAATGTAACATCAGCCATTAATGAGTTAAGTGCTCTATTTTTTCACTGTACCACATAATCCTCATTTAAAAGTCATATTTTAAATTACTAAAGCTCATTTTCTATTCATATGGTTATAACGCCTATCGACAGTTTGGGAATCTTTCTAGAAAAAGGTACAAAAACCATCAACTTGCATCCAATAAGTAACTTCTACCTTTTCATCTGTAAAAAATTACCAAATTGAGCCAAGATGGTTGCATTAATATGTAAGTACCCACAAAAATATAAAATGTGAATAGTCAATATCCTTGTACTAATTTCTGTATTTAAGAAATAAAACCAATATATATATATTTTATGCTCAGCGTCTACATATATCCTGCTCTGGCATGTGTAAGATTCTCATAAAAAATCTAAGATTTATATAATGAACACAAAACACACTACATTTATATTTAGCTTAAAAGCAATGTGTAATTATAGAAAAAATCTCACTGTAAGGATAAGCAACAGATACCATAAGCTTTAGGTATTATAAACAATTAAACTGAAAACATTAATTTTGAAAGCAAATTATTGGTTGGTTATTTAAGAATGAAAAAAAGTATGTGATGGCAAGCAACCTAGGAAAAGATGCCTTCATGAAAAGAATTCCTAAAATTTTGTTGCAGAAATTCTTCTGAATTATCCTTTTGCCAATATTTATTAAATAAAGCCATCTTTTATTTTAAGAGATCATGCACGCAATTTTATTCTTAATTTTACAAGAATAACAATTATAAGTAATGGTACATAAAAGGTAAAAGTTTTAACAATCAAATCATTCCATGTGTGATGTTATTTTTTGAAGAGATAAAAATAAGATACTAATTTCATCAACTACATATTCCCATCTCAATCAATAATATTCTTTTAATGCTGTAATAGGTTTACTGTGCCATTCCTAAAAAAATCAACTTGTTGGAGAAAAAGGCTTCTAGTGTCTCCTGGGAATTATATTCTTGCCCACCAATGAAATTTTTGCAAGCTTCAAATCACAAATCACTAAATGGTTCAAAAAAGGAGAAAACTTTTTATTTTTAATGTGAGTGAAGAGTAGTGTACCCCTCATCAGTGACTAAGTGGTTAAAGACTGCTGAATACTGGGATTTTGTCTCAAGTTTCAAATCCAGGTGAACAGGCTGGTTGGCATGCTTGAAGCTTTCAGGATTTTCATCAAGTGTAACATAAATAAGAGCCAATTTCCTTTAGAAAGGTTCTCCACAAAAACATATTCATGCCTAATGGGTAACCTTGTGTACTTTCCCTTACTTGAATAACCTAAACTGACCTAACCTGAAGAACAGCATAGATATTCATATATTTATTTATTTTTTTTTTTTTCCAGTTAGCATCACTAAGTTCACATGAAGTCCAATTGAAAAGTTAAGGCATAATTTCATGTTATTTCAAATGGTGATGGATAGTTGATAATGATGGACAGTTGCAAATGGATTTCTTTCAACACATCATTACCCAAAAAGATAGGATTGCCACAGTGGTTGGCATCTTTCAAGCATAGTTCATGTGCAGAAATTAACATCATTGGCACTTGCGAATATTGAAAACTGATTTATCATATATTTCCTCAGCAGTTTTTACAACATTTGTTGAACTGCTATCTTTTTTATATTCATAAAGAATGACGTGTCTGATGTGCTGTTCTGCGATTCCAATTTCATGAGGAGCTATTAAAGCAACAGATGTATCAGCAGATGCAAGCTAGAATATACATGAATGGAACTGTATTTGCTAAGTGGTATTTGTACATTAGTTTGTTCAAATGTGTTAGAACATGTTTTAACAAAGTCTGTGAAAAACGGGTTTACTTATGGGGGATGGCCTTATAATTAGAATTCGCAAACACTCAATAATTTTATGAAATTCTGAATTGACTTGATCATTATTAATTGCAAATTTACCAACACAATTTTTTTTTAACTATAGATCATTCTATAAGATGTTACAGTACATATTTTTAGTAAGCAGTGCGTAATTATAGCAGAAAATAAACAACAAATGCATACCAAATCAATCACTTTATGTTTTACAAGATTTGGATTCTTAAATACATTTCCTAAAGCATAGCAAGCATTCCAACAAACTTTCATGAATGTTGCAGACAGAGCTAACTTAAGAGCTTCACATGAACTTCTAATGAAATCTTGCATTGGAGGTAAATCTAATTGAAAGAAAAGAAATGTTTCTTATTAGTCATAAAATAACAAAATAGTATACTAAATCCAAGCAAAAATTTAAAAAAAAAAAACTATCTGAATATTCCCTCCTCTGGAATTAAGTTTTGCAAAGAAAATTATACATAATGCAAAAGGTTAAGTTATTAAATATAAAATATGATTTAAGATTATACTATAATAAAAGTGAGCCAAGTTAATAAAATCAGTAGATAAATCAAATAATAAAATCAGTAGCTGACGCTACAGATATAATTCAGAGCTAAGCATGTAATTTCTATATTACAGTTTCATCTTCATATGTAACAACAAAAACATGCAAATAGGCTGGTTATCATTTATTAAGGAAAAATCACACAAATGACAATTACTCAAAAAGTTACACATAGAATTTAATGAAACTGACCCACAATATACAATAGTAAAGTATAAAATAACCTGAAAAAAATTACCAAACAATTATGATATTATCAAAATTAGCATATGTATAGAATGAGCAAATTGAATTTGTCAGTTTGGTACAGAAATTTACCTTCCATATGGAGTATGATCTCCCCTAGAAGTAATGCAACACATGTAGCAACGTGTGATGCTGTCAATTATGCAGTCTACAAGTTATGTAGAAAGTGAAAGCTATTGCACTTACAAAGCAGTTGCAAGGGTCTGAATAAGATGACTGAAAGCAGCTATAAGTCTTTCTAAAGCATCCCAAATATGCTCGATAGCATTCAGGTCCGGTGACTGAGCTGGCCAATCCATGCACTGAATTGTTTGCTGCTGAAAATAATCATCCACAATGCGAGCGGGTCTAGCATTTTTGTGCTGTAGCAGAAAATTATCACCTATTGCAGTCATATAAGAGTGCATATAAGGATCAAGGATGTCACCTCTATGGGCCTGAACATTCAAGGTTCCACGTGGAAAGACATAGAAACCTATGTGTCCACCCAAAGAGATACTACCCCAAAAACACAGACACTCTCTCCTCTGTATGCATATCTTTCACGAATGTTTGATGGATGATAACGGTTTCCAGGTTCTCTCCAAATCAAATAATACCTATTGTCATTATGGAGGCAAAATCTGGACTCATCCGTAAACAGAACAGCCCTCTATTGATCAGCTGTCCAGTGGACATGTTGACATGCCCACCTCAAACGTTCCCTTCTATGATGTGATGTTAGTGGTATGCAAATGGCTGGTCACCTCATGTACAGACCTTCATGAAGCCTTCTATGCTTGGTTGGCATAAACACTAACTTTCCAGTGGCTGCAGCAATGGAGGATGGAGTTGAGGTTCTATTCCTCCATGCGCATAATAAAAAATATTGATCATCAGCACTTGTCGTAGCAGTTGGCTATCCTTGACTGAACCTCCTGGATGCCAAATCTGTGGTTAGAATTTGTTAAGTCTATGAACCACAGGACTCAAATTTAGCCTTCTGGTCACTTCTGTCTGACTTTGCCAGGCAAATGATGCATGGAAATTAGAAATTAGCTATACCAGATTTCTTATCTCAGTATCACAATGAAATTTACAAGCTTGCTCTGAAACATGCAATTGTATGCTCCTTGGAGATGACATATTTTGACCACAATGCCACTAATTTGCTTAATGCAGTTTTACTTAGCAATTCTTATTGGACAGCATATTCAAATTTTATACAGATTGCCTTATTTTTGAATGAGTTATTGCTATTTTTGTGATTTCTCCTTAATTTTTGGAAACCAGGCTATCTTTGTGATTAATAGAAATAAAATAAGAATTAAATTTGATTACAATGAAAAAATTCTACCAAAATAAAAATAATGTCCTGAGACAAAACAGAATAAGAAAAATGTTTAGTTTATAGTTACTATATTAATCTATAATTCATAATTATACAAAGTTCAGTGCTGCTTCAATTTGAAACTATAATTTATTAATTGCTTAATTTATATTAAACATCAAATATTTAACTTTTAATAAAACTCTTAATGTATTTCACTTTTTAAAACTCAGATTGTATTTATTAGTGTATCTCTTTTTTCTGGAGGAAAGGGAATATAAAAGATTACATAGAAAATTATCAAAATGTTATTAAAAATTTCAAAAGAAATACAGAAAATTGTAATCTATTTATCACTGTAGACTTTTATCACTAGAATTTATTTTTTATTTATTTATAATATTTCAGACCTTCAGCATACCCCAGCACTGCAGAATATCAATTTTAAATTTCACAATATATTCTCATATCATATGCAACAGACACATAAACAGAAACAAGAACAAGTCAAATTTAACAGGTATGAACCAAATAGGATTTGGGATTAAAATGGGAATGTCTACAGAATAATAAATAAACAAATATCTGTATATATAACTTGTGTAGTATTTAGAGAGATGAGAAAACTTTTTTCTGCTGATAAAATTGGTGCAATTCTACAATTAACATAACAAATCATTCATGCTATATTTATCACTCAACAGGCTATAAGCATATAAGAGTATATGCACACGAATTTTTGTATCATAGCATATTCACTCACTATTCTCATATCATAGCATATTAACATAATACGCTAAGACACACACATCTTTGGAATATTAATATAATAGCAACAGACATGCAGAATAATATCTGCTACAACTATTTTTTAATAAAATGGGCTTTGTCTTAAAATTCAAGGATGGACATGTCTAGATAGCAGCATCAATAATTTCATGGACTGAATGGTGTCATTATGCACTTTACTTCAAAATATATTTGACATACAACAGCATTCAAGTGATATTGTTTGCCAACTACAAACTATTAGGCCAGGTGTGGATTCCTCCAAGGGAGAATGAGTTAAAGCTTTTATATAGCTATCATGCATTTAGCTTTAGTTTATGATCACAGAAGTAAAGCTAAATTCTTGACAGAATTCAAATGTTGGTATTTACCAAATTTTCTACACTTTTTGCAATTTAATTTATAAAATATGTTAAAAAATAATCAAAATCTAAATAAATGTATACAGGTATTTTTTTTTTTTTTTTACTTTTGGAAGGAAGGGAGAATGATCAACATTGGTGAAAGAGATGCACAAATACGTTAAGAACTAGTACATGAATATACCTGAAGTATTAGCTTTTGTCAAGTATGTTACAATAGTCATATGGAATTTCAGCGGCATGCAAATTTTGTCAAATTAGGTTAAGTTATTTGAATATGGCAAAGCACACTAGGGCTATTTGCCTAAAGGAAGGGATACCTTTATGAAGAATTTTCTTATGGTTTGGTTATTTGACTTTTATCGAAAAAAGCATTCAAGAGCTATCTGCTTACGAGAAATGCCTTCATGAAGGTCTTTTAAAGAAAGACTTGTATTCACTTTAAACATGGAAGAAACCAACCCAGCCTGTTTATCTGGAGTTAAACCTCCAGTATTCAGCAATCTTTAACTGGTGAAGTCCCTTTATAAGGGAAATCCGCTTGTACTCATGTTACACAGAGGCAAAACCACAAAAACCAACTTACAGCCAACTTGTTCACTTGAGATTGCACCTGGGTCAAACTTCTTGCATTTAGCAGTCTTAATCACTTGGCTATTGGAGGGGCTCAGATTTTATCAAAAGTTAGATAAACTGGTAACTAAAATTCAAAAAACATATATGGTGAAGAAGGCATCTGTGGTACCACCCCACCAACTTGCTAACAAAGACAGTCAGGCTTCTGCAGTGCATGAAACAGATGATGGAACATGATCTTTCTGCGTAATCCAATTCTGAAGCACCAGTCAGCCACTTTGGTTAATTTTTGAAAATGCTTCTGAAGCTTGTTTCCAGTAACAGCATCAACAGCAACAGAAAAGTATAGTCCACAAAATTACGTCTCCAGAATTAAAAAATTACTATGTATATCATCTCCAATATTCATAGCTCATTAAAAGTCAATAGATCCCTCTTAATTTACCACATGAATGTCATAAGACATACAGTTTCTCTTATGAACTGAAAGAAACATTTACAGTTTCAAGCATAACATCCTATCAGGCTTATATAAAACTGCATGCCGATATAATTGAAACATACAATATTTGTATTAATATATTATAAATAATAATAACATATATAAATATATTGAAACATAACACAGCTTTCTACTAGAGTAGGCACCTACACCTAAATATCAAATAATAAAGAATGTTTCACATGAATAAACTTTTGATACAAAGGCTTCATACTAACCTAAAAATTGCTTTGGAATATAATGCAAGAAGTTTCCTAAAGATCTTACAGCATTAGCCTTTATCCTGTCACTATCTTTGGAGAAATGAACACAAGACATACCAGTAGAATAGAAGAACTGAGCAGATATTTCCTTACATAAAAATGTTGTGTCTCTATTTAAAAAAATATATATATTTAATTCAAAAGAATAACTAGTACACATTATGGGGGAGAGGAGAATCTTAGCAATTTCAAAATTATTAAGTAAAAACATGCACGCTCTAGTATATAACTATCCTTATAGGTATCATACATTAAAATATAAATTCATATATTCCATAGAACCTACATATTATGATAATATATTCTTTATGTACACTGTGCAAAAAAAGGGGAGGCGGGGGACAGTTCTATATCTCCCATTCTACTGGGCCGATCAACAAAATTCAAACTGCGTTTTTCATATCTCAAAAGCACTACTTAGGATATATATTAGATTTATATATAGCTTTGTTCTAAGATAGGTATTTTGACACAAAATCAGACTTCTTCTGAAATAACATGCAGTTTTCTTTCCATACTTCTATTCTACGAGTCAAATTATGCCTAAATATTAAATTTTGTAAAATTTGGTGCGAAATTTACCGAGAAATTCAAATACTTATCTTGGCTTTTTTTTTCCAGTTTACGCCAAGAATAATTCACTTGGCAAACATCTTAATTTATGGCAACCTATTTCCCTTTTCCTTTTTACATTGTGCATGAGACGGGGGGGGGACATTATTCCTACTTTCAAATAATTTAAACAAAGTGCGTAAGCCACATTTGGCATTATCATCGTTTATATCATATTTCAAATTTCAAAACGTGCCAGTACGTAAATTCACGTATATCTTAGAACATTTTGAATAAAAAAACTAATTTTTTGCAGATATGCTTAGAATTACATCTACTTTAAGATGATGGTAAGCATTTTACAGTTTATAATTCACATTTTTTTCCAAAAAATTTATAAAAATTATTTTAAAATACAAATTTTAAAAAGAAATCATAAAAAATAGTAGAATTTTATTTGGAATGAACCTAAATTTTGAACTGTGAAAGAAGGAATCAAGTAAGTGTAATAACAAAAGAGTTATCAATAAATACATACCAACTAAAATTTTGGAGAACTAATTTTTTAAAAACTACTTGCACGATTTTTATAAAACTTAACAGTTTGGCATAATTTGAGTTGTAGAATTGAAATATGAAAAAAAAAAATTTGCATGCCATTCCAAAAAAAATCTTATTGTGTCAAAATACCTATATTAGAACAATGCTATATATAAATCTAATACATATCCTAAGTCGCGCTTTCAAGACATGAAAAATGCAATTGGATTTTCGTCAATCGGCCCAGTAGAACGGGAGATATAGAACTGTACCTTTCCTGAATCAACTGAATAGTGTCAAAAGCATAATGTTTTATGCAAAAAAATTAATAATAATAATAATAATAAATAAATAAAAAATAAAAATTATATTATACACAGAAAAAAAATAATTTTGATCCAGCTATCAGTTATAAAATATGAAAAACCTTCCTGCTAATTACATTTAATTTGAAAAGTATATTTGTTATATGAATTTAATAATTATTACAATTTTTAATATTAAGCACACCTTACCTAAATAATAATTTAGGTAACCTGATTTTAATTATAGATACCAGATGGCTGGGATTAAAAAATACTTAGGATTTTAGAGTGATTGCCCAACTAGCTAATCAGTTTTTCCACTTAATGTATCAATTTCAGTAATGTTGTTGACTTGTTAACAGTAAGCAACATTTGGTTTCCAGAAAGAGGTCAACAATAAAGGAATTTACAAACCTGAAGATGAATTTCTAATCTTCATATAGTGACTCTTATAAACATGTAAAATACAACAAAGTGGTGCAAAACCTAAGAGATTATACGCACCAAACACATCAGGAATTCTCATACAGACTTGGTAAAAGCATAATTATTAGATAAATACTACAACAAAACAACAGCATAAAATCATAAGAAGTGATAAAACAATGAATGTTGAGATGAACATTTTCTTAAAACACAGATAATGATATATACAAAACAGGAGTAAAATCAGAAGCATGCGATATATTAAAATATATAGTATTAAAATAAAAATAACAACATGAAAACAAAAATTAAATAAAACTTGTTTCTTTCAGGTACTGATATAAGTTGTCATTTCCCTTTTTCCTGATTATACAGCCATGTGCAATGCATATACAAACCAGTTTCACTTAGAAAGTCCTCCACAAAGGCATCTCTTCCCTTATGCAGATAGCCCTTGAACACTTTGTCATAATCAAATAAACCACACCCAATTATATGGTCAAGATGCAAATCACACATGCTAAAATGCTTCAATCTAAGACTTAAAATATGAATATTCAACTAAAAAGCGAAGCACAAACAAAACAAAATTTGAACAAACAGGTTCACTCCCTTCAAAAGGTAACTGTGTGTGACTCATGAGTGAATACAGCAAAACGTAATAATATCTAATGAAGAATGAGAAAGAATGAAAACAGAAACAAGGATTTTAGCCATCCAAAGCAGCTTTGAAATAGACATACCACAAAAAGTATACAGTTCTGCTTTCTAATATCTTGCTGTCTTTGCTGCATGATTTCCTTTTATTCCTTCATACAAAATTTTTTCTGTCAAACATTCTTATATAATGCACATGTTGAGGGTTTTCTAATCACTGAAATTAATTTTTCATGAAGTGCCTTGAAAATGGGTGTCCATAGAAAAATTTTAAGAAGAGGGAAAAGAGTGCAAATAATTGCATCAATAATTTTTTTTTTTTTTTTTTTTTTAATTTCAGGAGGGGAGTTTCAATATGAAAACATATACATTTAAGAACATCCATACAAAAACATATTTTTTATTCTATTTCATTTCAGCAGGGCCATATACTATACTAAAAAAAAAAGCAAGGTCTTCCTCTTTAAAAAAATATAATAATTAAAATAATAATAATAATAATAATAATAATAAAAAACCCTCATGTCTTGATTCTTATTCCTAAAGTACGATTACCTTAACTCAGTGGTTATCTAAACCATTTTTGTCCTATGCATCCCTTTTACCACTGTTCCTTCCTTTTCAAAACTTGTAAAATACATATACATTTATTTAAATTTAGATTATTTTTATGTGTTTTAAATATTAAACAAGAGAAAATATAGAAAATGTTAAGTACCAAAACTTGAATAAAAATAGTTTTTGAAATTATTATTATCCATAAAATAAAACTAAATACTGAACTGGTAAATAAAGGCCGACCTTACATACACCCTGAAACTATGAAGCTCCACACCAGTTGAAAACCCCTGCCTCAACTATGCAGGCAGAAAAATTAAAATTGTTGCTTATGAAAGTTACAGTTTTAATATGTTTAACTTCTTTGACAGCAACTGATATTCATTTTTATAAAAATTTTATGTCAGTTTAGTTTACAATAGTAGATAAAAACCTATTAAATTGAAACAAAACTGATAAGCCTTAATATAATCATTTTTCCGATATTAGTTTATTAACATTCTGGTACTCAGTTTTATAACTTTTTGCAGAAAATTAAGGACAATCAACTGCTGAAAAAAGAAAAAAATCTTGTTATTTCAGTGAAAAATTTTCACATTCCTAAAAAAAAAGGGGGGGGAATTTGTTCGAATTATAAACATGAATTAAACAAATGTAGCCAATATGAAAAAAAAAAAAAAAAAATAATTACATAAATTTGGATACTAACTTTTTTTTTTTTTTTTTTTTTTTTTTTTTTTTTTTTCAATGTGCATGCAAACATTTTAAGATTTCTGTTTCATTGTTGGACATTTAAATACCATCCAGCTTACCTGTTTGAAAAAAGAGCATCACTTAAATTTCCAAGGGCCCAAGATGCTTTAAAACGAACATTCACATTTACATCATCTACAGACTTCTTTAAGCATTCTGATACATCACTCAAAAAAGAAATATCCTAGATGCAAAAATAAATATTTCATTTTTATAGTTTCATCCATTGATAAAGCAAAAAAGCATTTTAGAAATAGTATGATTTAAAGTTTGGCTACTGTTCTTAATAATACAAACCTGAGTTAAAGAGGGGAAAAGACAAAACACACCCAGGCAGCGAATTGCAGCACCTCTGACATTTGGATTTGAATCAGAAGTCATTCCAAGAAGTATTGTTATGTATAATATCTGCTGTTTGGACTTCAAAAGAAAGAATTATGTAATTATACATTAAGAAAGTGAGATGCAAAAATATTCAAAGGATATATGACATGATGAAAATAAAATGCAAAGTTATAACGCAACATGACATTTGAGGCCACAGGTTTTATTCCCTTAACTATGATCCTAAACAGGTATTTCATGTAAGAAAATTTCTCAAACTAAGACATCAAATTTGATGAAATGGTTTCAGTACTGTGACTAGAAGAATTCTATATTGTCATGTGTTAATAAACATGTGGTGATGAAGAAAAAAAAAAATATGGTAAATAATGATTTGCAAGGTTGGCGTCAAGGATATAAAATATTAGTTGGTGTAAAATTAATGTTTCTATGTAGAATGTTTTGGTTGGACATGTATGCCAAGGAGATACGCAGTTACGGAGTCAAATTATTGATTGAATAAATTTATGCTAAGATGATTGTTTCTTTAATAATGAGATATTTTATTTAGTGCCGAAGTGAGATTAAGAATCAGGACTCCTGGCATGTTTTATTATGAGGGGGGAAATCAATTGTGCATGAATAAAGCATAGCCCCCAAAAAATCCTAAAACAAAAATGGTTGGTGGTGGCTTTGAGGTCCAGATTTTAGATCATTCTGGATACTGGACGTCCGGATCTCGGACCTTCTACTGTTTAACTTTTTATAAGATCTCTCTAAAGCAAAAATTCTAGGCAGTAGATTATTCATTACATTTTCTTAAGTTCAACAGAAGTATTATATACAAAGACTTCTAAAAAATTAGATTTCATATTATTTTGTACTATTTTTACTGTATACTCTTCCATCTACAAAACCATTTTCATAAAATTTTGCTCTCGTTTTGAGATTTTTGTGACTAGAAGTCCAAGTTTAAGTTAGATGTTTAAGGAAATAAAACCTGTAGATACTTTTCTCAAACATTCTGTATATTTATTACTTATAAACAAAATTATTTTTTTTATTAAAAAAAGTTGTTAAATAATGTATTACATAATTTTCTTAAAAAAAGAGGTTAGGTTTTGAAAACTTACAGGAAAAAAAAATAATAATAATATCATAATGAACACACATTGCTTAATGCACAGGGAATTAAATGTTTAAAATGCATTATTTTAATTATTATACAAATAGCTTAATTACAATGAAAAAAGTTAAAATTATAAATTCAATATTATACTCAAAGATTAAAAACAGATTAAATTAAAAAAAAATTTTTTTTCCTACATTTAATTCCTGGAACAGCTTTGGGGGCAGAGTTGAGAGACAGTCGCAGCAAACAGATTGTAGAGTTTTGTGAGTATCATTGGATAAACATACTATTAAAGGCCCATTCAAAACACTGAACCACAGCTTAGAAACCTATAAGCAAAAGCTATCAAATAAGGAATTAGTTAATATTAAATCAATTTATTTTAAGTCTAATTCGAAACCCCTGTTTTTTTATTCACAAACATGATTCTTTCTAAAAAATTATGCATAAATTGTTGCTTAAAAAGCAAAGGACAATTGCAATAAATATCAGACTCCCTAAATGAATGGTGGCTTCAGATATAAAAGAAACTCATACGAGTCTTTTACTAAAATATGAAATTTATTAAGTTGAATTATGACAAGTATTCACAGTCTGACTATTAAATTATGACAAAGTATTTTAAGTTTAATTACTGAACTAATGCATTCAAAGTCTGATTGCTTAATTAACAACAAGGTATGCAAGCTCTACCCATTACAGGAAAGCAATGTAAATATCTATTATTAATAATAAATTTAACAGTACTTACTGACTGTGAGAAAATATGAATCATTTTATGATTAAATAATTATGTGTACCAATTTGTAAGCAAATTGTCAGTTGGGAGAATAGGCACATCAAGGTCTTTTTGACCCTCCATATAAATCATAATGTGTGTCATCAACATTCCAAAGCACTTACTTTATCAACCTCATTTGAGGCTACTTCATCATTTTTTTTTTTTTAATTCAAAAAGTGAAATTCACTAAATGGAAATGAAATAAGAAATAACTTATTAGGAGACAATCATCTACCACAGCTGTCGTTACTATGGTTACGAGGCAAGCCAGGCAGGAAAAATAAATTTGAAATGCCTAATTAAAAGTAACAGTTTATAAAGAAAAACAGAGGAAAAAGAAATAACCTACATTAAAAGTAACAGAAAAATAATAGAGGAAAAAGAAATAATCTTTATTAAAAGTAACAGAAAAATATTATTGCCAATTTATCTGCATTTTAACATAATTTAACTTAGAGAATAAGTTCATTTCATTTGATAAAATAAATCAGCATTCAAAACAAAAAGAAAAAACTGTAAAATAACAGAAGAATAAATATCATTAGAAATGAACAAACTAAGATGCAAAAAGCATAAAAGTAGAATATTTACAACAGAACTCGAATAATGTCATTGAATTCAATCTTGTGTAAAAAAACCAGAGTTTCCTCTAGTAAATACCATTTATTGTCACTACTGTTATTCTGTGTATTTTCCACACAAAGTTTTGTTTCACACTGATGGTTTGTAATTTTAATTCCACAATAAGCAACTTTTCTTTAGACAGGGTCAGTTACACCCTTCCACCGTCAGAAGACAGACGGTGACCTGAGTTAACTATAATCAGTCCAATCAGAAGTTGACTAGATTTGAGTTGATCAAGAAATGATTGTACATATTACTGTGATGTTTTGCTAACGCTAACCCCAGAGTACAGGAAATGCTCAATAAAGTAATTTATTTCTACTTTCAAACACACTTCTTTACAATCAACTCTGCATTAGAAATCATTACCCTATATTTAATATTTATTGATGTTTTATTTATTCACTTCAGAGTAAAACTTTTCAACACAGATTAGTTATGTTTCTTACTTTGTAAGCATTTCCTTTTATATAAGAAGGCCATGAGTTCTAGCCCCCGCCCCCAAAAATTATTATTACTAGTTTGATAACAGGACACAAAACTTTCCTGTGATACTCCAGCAGCTGATTTCTGGATCACTGAAATCACATTTATGATTGAAATGCTGAAATCCCAGCTGTTTCTAATTTTGATATTCTGAAAATGAATTTCAATCATTGATTAATAATAATTATTCATAATCAAGATTGAATTTCTTAGAACAGGGCAAGAAACTGTGTAAAACCCAGGAAAAAGGGATGAAAGTGGAAGAAATGAACAATGAAGCATCTGCTAAAGGTATAGATTTACAAACAGCTTAATTTAAAGTAAATATCTTCTATAAAATGGAAAAGCAATTTTCTCTAAAAAATCCAATGAAAAGTGTGGTAAAATTCTTATTCATTTACTGATGATTAAAGGTGATGGATTAAGTTCTGAACAAAAAGAAGCAACAAGTAATTAGATAATCAAAAAATAATAATTGATTACTTTTTGTGACTCCCCCCCCTTAACAGAAAAAATGGAACGTTACCAAAAACTTGCTTTACAAGCTTCCTTCCAAAAACCTTGCTTATCATTCAGGGTTTGTACACATTTCTGCACATGGAAATTAAGTACTTTTAAGGACTTTTAAGGGCCATTAATGAAAAAAATTAAGGACCTATGAGCAAATAGGAACTGAATAAATTCAATTTAAAATATTATCTATGCTTGAATTTCACTTTTGTAATACCATCCTAAAAATAAAATAGATCCCTAAGTAGTGTGCATTATTACTAAACATGAATTAATTAGCATAATTATTAATAAGTTTGAAAATAAAATTAATTATATGCAATTTATCAAGTAGCATTATATATTTAACATATATAATAGTTGGACATATTTGAAAGAAGATAAGTGGCATTTACTAACAGTTAGCTTTATGTTGATTTTTTTTTTTTTTTTTTTTTTTTTTGTGTGAGTGTGTGTGTGTGTGTTTATTTTGTCACATACTTGATCAGTTTAGAAGGTAGGCACTAGGCAGCAGAATTTAGGATCCACAAAGATTGCATCAGGTGGGAAAATGCTTAGTGCCAGCTATATGTATGATGCATTAAGACATATTAAATGAATCTTTTAAATTGCAAGTTTTCAATTTCCTTATTAATAAAAAAATCCCTTTCTATAATGCCTGCCCATGTTATAAGATTAGAAGCATTTTTGATATTTTTCCATGCTTGTGTCTAGTGAAAAGTAAAGAAAACCAAGGGAAGAGAAACATGTTAAGAAAAAGATGCTAGTATCAGAAGTAAAACATTCAAATATGTTTTCATTGTTCTTCCAGACGTTCTCCCAAAAGTAAGAAATTCATTGCAAACTTTCTGTAAAATACATCCATTACATGTTGATACCATGGAAACATTTTCCAATTTGTCACATATTTCTCGTATCTAGAATCATAGGTCTATAAATTTTGCCTTCAAATCCTTCTAAACTTTCCAAGCTGCAATAATGTCTAAAATCCTAAAGAAAAATTATCCCTACCAATTCTGTAACAGCAAAAAGCCAAAACCATTTTTGGGAAAAAAAAGGGGGAGGGAGGGAAAAAAATGTAAAATTAATTTTATAGAGAAAACTGATGCATATTCTGAGACAAAATGGGAAAAACTCTTAATATGAAAAAATTAAAAAGAAGACTTTTTAATTAATTACATAGCTAATTTGCTTTTGCTAAGAGCTGTTTTGTAAATTGTGCTTTATTGCATTACACATTGTTTATTTTTCAGATTGAAAATATTGTACAATTAGTTGCTAAAATGAAACTTTATAATATAACAGCAAAAAATAAAAATGTTTTATTTCAATGTTATTTTTTAAATATAATTTCAATATATTACCATTATTTTAATGAAATTTATCAATGCTACGATGTTTTAAAAAAAGTCTTCTCAGATCTCGGAATTAAAAATTTTCTGAAGAAACTGAACTTAAAATTGCCAAAATGTTGAGCCACCAAATTTAGAACCGTTTAATAAAAGAATTCACATCCCTGAAAGCAAAAGTTGTTTAAGAGCTCTTTATTAGAAAAAATGAATTTTGAAATGCTTATGCTTCACTAAACTTGAGTATCCCATTGTTTATATTAGAAATAAAAACAAAGTATAACCCATGAACCCATTCAAAAGATAACCATATATGCCAGTGAATTGCCAAAAATATTCCTCCAAAATGCTAATTCACACTCAAAATGGCAGTCATAAAAACAGACAGAAGTTTCAGATAATTAAAATTAAGGACCTTCTGCTGATCTTGGCCAAAATTAAGGACTCTTAAGGACCGTATGAACCCTGTCATTTGCAACATGTTAGATTCTGTTATTACTAGTTGTTGATGATTCTGTTGCATGATTGAAAGTAGTATATATAATTTCTAAAATTTAAAACGAACAGTGTAATAAAGTTGAAATACTTTTTAAAATGCCTTTCAAATTCAGCAGGATTAGAGCAATCTTTTTCTCTTAGATTTATCCATTCAAAATTACAGAAGATTACTGCGTACAACAGCACAATTTTTTTTATAGTATGCTGCATATCATTAATGTTGATGTAGATTCATACATTTAACAATTAAATGATTTTTTTTCTGAAATAATATGTTAATTTTCTATTTTTATTACTATTATAAACTAAAACTGAGTTTCAAAATTCCCCCAAAACTCAAAAATGTGAAATACATATATATAGATATATATATAAAGTAAAAAGGAAATTCTTCAAGCTATTGCTTAAAAGCAAATGAGTTATACTCAAAAAGATTTTTTGTGTTCAGTCTCAATTCTTCTTTTTGACAAAATGCGTTATGGAGTTAGCTGGATTCGAAACTCATTGTGCATTTCCCTTGATAAGTCCGTAATGAGATTCGAATTAGGCTAATTTACCATTTACTGCTTCTCTGTAATTTTACTTGTATTTTAAATAATTTTTGTTGTAATTTTAAAATGTTTTACAATTGTTTAAATTTTCATCATTTTTTTTTAACTTTTAAATTTGAATTGAGTTTTACATTCACTTTTTATTTGTCAGTTTTTCTTGTTTAGTATTTCATACTTCTTGTATTTTAACTTTTTGTATTACAATTTATTTTTGCATAGTCTTAAAAAATTTTACACAGGAACCACAGTATCTCATTTGTTTTTAAGCAATAGCTAGAAGAATTTCCTTTTTACTGTTTTCAAATTTTGCAGCTCAATGTGCAAAATTCTTGACCACACAGGTCTTTTTTAGTTTGTTCTCCTTTCTTCCTTTGTATATAACTGGAGAATTTTGAAGAGTTAAGGAATTAATCGTAAATATAATTTTGTAAAAATTTATATTTTATCAATACTGGAATCTTTCCTTTTACTAATGAAGGGGCAACTCTTTTCAAAAGTCTCAATTATAGCCCGAATTGAGTGAAGATTTTTTATCTTATTTTTCTATTTTCCTTACCTTTGGCCAGTATTTAGTTAAAGTTTTGATTGAACTTGTAACTTCAGTTTAAATAATGCAGTTTAGTACAAAACCATTCTTACAATAAGTCTCTATTATTTTCTAATTCAAATTCAATTAAAATATTCAAACTTTTACTTTTTATTTAAATTTAATTTAATTTTACTAAAAAATTTTTTCAAAATTTCTACATCTTTTGTAGTTTGAAACATCTCTTTTCACAAACTGTAGCAGTTCACAATTTTTACTTTTTACAAATTTTAATGCCTTAAAGTTAGCAACATTTTTGTACACAAAACAAGCATTTTACATTATTAAAATTTACAGCATAGGTTTTTTACACTAGCTCTCACAGGTAGCAGCTTTACACTCAACTTTACATTGTATTAGCGCTCTTTATTTATACAGTGAGCAGTAACATACTACTCAACTTCATCTAGTTTAGCAAATGCTAGTGCAACTCAGATATTCAAATTTGATGTCCTAGTAAGTACTCTGAATAAAATGGTGAGAAACTTAAGTAGCTGTGTGTATTTGTGTACTAAAAAACTCTTCCATAAATACTTTTTGTTCATTTATTTTGGTAACTTATTTACAATTGTGTATACCTAAAACAAAAGATAGCAGCAGTAAACTAAAAATGTTATTTTTTAGCTTAAAGTTTGGGAACTGCTGAATCATTGTGCCAGCTACGAATATCAGAGGCTTGGAATTCTATAATTATAGGTACTTCCTTATTATTATGACCCTCATTATTACAACTTTGCTAATGTAAGTCACAAATCATTACTGATTCATGATAGTAGACTATAAGTAGCTACATTCATCTATAGTCTGCCTATCATGAGATTAGCTTTGAGTAAGATTGTTGTTTTGGTGCAAATCCTTAGATAGAATTTAAAATTGTAAATTTAAGGACTGCATGGCAAAAGTTCTAAACAAGAAAATGATTTTGATGCTATATTAAAAGCAATCACAGAAACATGGCAGCCACAAACTGTATAAACTAAGTAAACACATTTGCTATTTAAGTTTTTAACATTTTTAAAATTTAAAACTTCTTAATAATCTTGAGATTTTGGCATAGTTTGAATAATGGAGGCTATAATAATACAGAAGTGCCTAATAACATATAAGAAAACAATACATTAAAATTAAATTTAATTAAAAACTAATAAAAAATTAATTAACAAATTAATATAATGTGAAATCATACTTACTGATAAATGTAAATTTTCAGCTCCTTCAGTATTTGCAGCATTGATTGTACACCGACCCAGGACATCTAAAAGCTGAATAAGAATTTCATGAAAACAGTTAATATTTCAGAAATATATTAGATGCAATCAAAAAATATGCAATATAGACAAAAATTAGGCTAGTTGCATAACTGCCTCCTTAAATCCTTGCAAATGGACACGCATCTGAGATTTCTAAGAGAAATTTATGAATATTTATAAACAAAAAGCTGAGCGATCTTGTGTGTGTTAATTAATCTCACCTTAACACTACGGTTATCATCGGACAGAAGTTTTATTCTATCCTAAAAGATAATAAGAAAATCCATTGTGAATATTTTTTTAGAAAAAAGCACAATGAGGAATTAATATGAAAATACTTACTCTAATGAAGACTGTAAATAATGAAGTAAAATTCATTTAAATTAAATAGCAGTTAAAAGCTTAAGACCACAGATTTATACAGATTTAATAATTTCATAGTATGAATTGAGAGAAAAAGTCATAACTGGATGACCCGTAGTAGAAAGACATTTAGCTGCATAATGGCTACCGTGCTTACCTTGCATTAAAATGCTGCTTCTTTGGTGAGATAGGTTCCCAGACATTAGTCCAGATTGATAAGTTAGTCTTGATTTTTAGATTAAATTGTCCAACCCAAAGGTGTTGTAGCCTTGAAAAGAAATACTGCATCCAACTGAATTGTAATTTTCAGTTAATTGCTCCATAGTCAATAAGACTAATTTTGCTTTTAATATTTTAATTTAGCACTCACAAATTGTGAGTTACATAAAATAAAATAAAGCTTTTATGTGCTTCTACGTTTTGTGCTTCAATAGTTAATTTTAAGCTACATGTGGTAACTCGCATCACAGCTTTAATACTACATTGACAGGTAAAAGCTTGATTAGTATTTAGTTAGACAAAAGACTCCTAAGTCTTATGACTAATGTCAGACTTACTACCAAAAGTCATTAAACTCTTTCATCATTTTTTTTTTTTTCATCTAATTTTAAATTCTTGTTAGCATTTTTATCAATTAAAACCAAAGTCAAACTATTTTTTCTTATTATCTAATTTAAATTCTTTGTAATTTTTCATAATTTGTAATTTATACCAAACTTTAATTTCCCATGTAATATTAAATATATTTCTGTTTTTTAAAAACATACTTTTTATACATGTTTAGAACATACTTTTTACACATGTTTAAACTACTACAGCTTGACAAACCCAGTTTATTTCTACTCTCAAATTTATTTTTAATGAAGACACAAATGTAAATATAATAATTTTACAAATGATCATATATTTGGTTCTCAGCATTTCTAAAATTATTGGCAGCTTACATGTAAATTGTTGAAACTCTGAAATAGTAATGAAATTCCAATGTCTTATTAAGATACATTTTCTGTTTAAAATAAACAAGTAAAAATAACAGCATCTGTGTTTTCGAATTGTTAACAGAATGGTTTGAACTTTTAAAGCTTCAGTAAGAAAGTTTCCTTACAATATAGCTTTTTCAGTTGAATAAGCGTATGATATTTCTGTTAGTTAGAAATTTCATTTCATAAATTCAACTACTTTATAACTCAACTATTTATCATTTAAATTTGTTATTTTTCTCATCTTTTAATTTTTACAATATTTGAAATATTTATCTTACTTACCATTTAAAAAATTAATAACATTATTTAATAACAATGTTATTGATTTTTAATTTTCTAAAAACAGTGATTTGTCTCTCATTATACTATATTTGAAGGATATAAAAGCCTAGACACTAATTATACAGTTCAATTAATATTGTTATTTATTCAGTTTTTAAACAGATTAAATACCTGATAAAACATTGATGAAACAAACTCAAAACAACAACATTTTAATAGCACAGAACAGTTTACAGACATATGAAATTGAAACATTTAACAAAATCATCAATTTTATATATTTTTAAGAACATATAAACATTATATTTTCCTTCACTTTCTTTAAAAAAATTAAAATAAAGAAATTAGTTTTTGTAAAATGCAGACTAATTTTAAAATACTTTCAAGAGGTTTTTTTTTTTTTTTTTTTTTTTTTTTTTTTTTTTTTTTTTTTTTTTGTTTGTTTGTTTGTTTCTTGTTTTTTTTTTAAATATTTTATTATTATTTATTTAATTGAAAATCAACAGTCTTTTTCTAATTACTTGCAAATAAGATATCAGAAGTGTTAGATTTTACATTATACATTTGGTTTTGGTTTAATTTGATTGTGGTGAAGCATCTGAAGGCTATCGGCCTAAAGGGAGGGATGACTTTGTGAAGGACTTACTAAGGGAAACTGGCTCGTATCCACATTACACATAAGGAAAACACCCATGCAGCCAGCCTGGAATCAAACCCAGGTCGAACTACTTGTGTTCAATTACTTAACTACTCAGCCATAGATTAGCAATTTTTTTTATTATACCAGAGTTTCTCAACCATGTGAGAAATTCCCCCAGGAGAGAACATCATAGTTTCAGAGGGAAATACAATCAGCCTTTTATTTAGCTGTTAAGTATTTAATTTTAATTCATGAATATAAAAAATTACTTTTCTTCAAGTTTTGGTATTTATCAATATTTTCTATACTTGTTGCTCTTTAATTTATAAAATACATTAGGAAATAATCTACAGGGTGAATTTGAACAAGTGGGCAAAACTTTAGGGGTGATAGAAGGCAGCTATACGAGCAATATTCGTCATAGAATATATGGTTAGAATGCAAATGGCAAGCTGCCAGGTGGCATTTTAAATGGTAGTAAAGGGTCAGTCCTTGCACCTAGCAGAATTTTCTACTCTGGATTGCTGAAAGGATGGCTGATTATATGAACCACGAAATAGTTGATATGCACTTCATGTACAGTGCACAAAAGCGAGTGTGAGTGAGGCACAGAGAATTTATCGAGATAGGTTTCTGATAAGACGCACTTCAAACTGGAAAACATTTGGGCATTTGCAATGGCAGCTGTGTGAAACAAGATCCTTTGTCGCAGCCAAGCAAGATACAGGGCATGAAAGAAGTGTTAGGACACCGGAACATGAAGAAGACATACGCATAGGGTGAAAGATCAACCAGGATGTAGCACAATAGTGGTTTCCCATGCTGTAAACGTGCCCCAAATAATGATTAGCCATGTGATATAGGAAGAAGGAAGGCATTGTACACAGTTGGTACAAGCGTTATCACCAATGGACTATTAGCCACGTGTCGATTTCACATGTTGGTACATCTCAGAATGCAGAGCAGCTGGATTTTGGTGCACATGTTCTGTTTACAGATGAGTGCACTTTTACCCATGAGATATTTTTAATACCCACAACTCCCACATATGAGCACCTACGAACCCACATACCACACATCCTCATTCGTTCCAGCGGCTATTCTCCATAAATTTGGGCAGGCATCCACAATGACCATTTGGTTGGCCCATACTTCCTGCCACACCACCTGGACAGCAAACCGTATCACACATTCCTACAAGAGGTGTTGCCGGAGTTTCTGTGTCCAATTCCAACATCCATCAGGTCAAGAATATGGTTCCAGCACGATGGTGCACCCCTGCACACCTCAGCCTAGATGTGCAAAACACTTTGCATGCAAAGTTCCCAGGTCGATGGATTGGTAGGCAGTCCCATAACTTGACGACTAAGATCACTGGATCTCTTGAGTTTGGACTTTTCTCAGTGCGGCCATATGAAAAGCCTAATCTACAAGAGCCCCATTGAAACCAATATGGATCTAGTCACCGGGATCGACATTGTTGCAAGCGATATTCAAGAAATGCCTGATGTCTTCGCAAATGTGCATCAATCCCTATCCTGCAGGTGTGAAGCATGCATTACAGCTGGTGGACGGTTTTTTTTTTGAGCAATTTCTATGAGCATCTTCTGTTAATAAAATGTTTTCTGAAGTACTTCCTTCCTTTCTTATGTTAATTCTTTAAATGTGACAGTGGAAAACTACCCTTTAACTTCTAACCACTTGTGTTCTGACCATATATTCTATGACGAATACTATTGCTCATATAGCTGCCTCCTATCCCCCACTAAAGTTTTGCCTACTTGTTCAGATTCACCCTGTATACCTAAATAAGTATATATATGCTCTTTTCAAATTTTGTAAAGGAGTGGGGGAATGATCTTCTAACAATGGTGAAAGGGATGTGTGGGGCAAAAATGTTATGAACCATTGTATTTATGCATTAATGAGAAGAAATATGTATTTCATAGAACAAAATGAATGAAAATACTTTTGTTTTAAACTGCTGGCTTTAATATGAAATACAATTAATGTAATACACTATCACTTCTGCTTGCATTTATTCATAATAATTTAATGTCACTTGTCCCTGTCTATGATATTCACTCATAATAACTAGTATAAAGCTTAATATTTTAGACCACTTGCATTTTTTGATTAAAAATTTAATAATATTTCTGAATTTATTCCCAATTTCATTCACATTTAGGAGGCTAAAACTAGTAAAAGAGAAGACTTCAATACCTGAAATCTGTACAGCTTTTTAGTGAAATTGACAGTTAATCAAACAGCAAAAGTTCAAAAGTTTCAAATGAAATATGTAATAAATGACATCATAGTAAAGGGGCACATTGATTATGGAAGATATTTTAAAGTGTTTGTTTCCACCATCTGAAGAAAGGGAGTGGGGAATATACTAAAGAGAATGAGTTAAAACAGTAGCTCTATATGGTTTTATGTTAAAACTAAGTTATGTTGGGAATACATGAATGGCTTTAGTGATTACTGGTGACAGTCGGCCTTCATTGCTGACAGCTTTCCTTAGTCAATATTGAAGTAAGTAATGATATTCTATTGATTATTGCTTTTACTTCTGCCAAATAAATATTTTGCCAACAGTTGAGAGATTTGTATCCCTGAGTGAATACTAACTCTGTACTGTTTTAACTGAACAAGACTGCAAGAACTAGAAGTTTCAATTTTTACTACAAGCATAATTAATAATGTTAAACTTTCATCACATCAGAATGGCAAGTTTTAAATAATTAAAAAAACTTCAGAACAGTAAAGCAGTGTAACTTGATCAGCAGTAATGACTCTGATCAGAAGCAATAACTTGGCTTTAAAAAACTCATCATCATTACATCTTATAATTTTGAAACAAATTACCGTAAAACAGATGTTTGAAAAATGCTAAATACACTTTTTTCATCCTTAATTTTTTATATAAAATTACAGTAATTTTACTGTATATTTCTTAATAAAACTAGTTTTAAATAATTATCTGCATATTTAATGCATATTCTCTCTAAAAAAGTCAAAAGGTAATTAGAGTTGATTATACAGTTTGTCAATTTTGTTTCAGTGAAATTAATAAAATTTTATAATGAACCAAGAAAAGAAAAAAAAAAAAAAAAGTTGTTGAAAGAGAGAACAGAGTGAACAGCTATTCAGATAAGTGAAGATGAAAAGAAAGAGTGAGAAAATAAATTGTGTGAAGAACACGCAAAACACAACTATAAAAAGAAAAGGCAAAAGAATTTCAACTTCAGACTATTTTCAAATTAATGAAGGAGCCTCAACTTGTAATTCCTCCAATACATTATCATCAGATTTGGGCATACTTCAGATTGATCACACAGAAGATTATTCTCGCAGACAATGATAAAGTATTTAGATAAACAATGTACATTTTATGGACAACAAGTTCAGATATGTGTGCAATGTTTACGATAGGTGATAGTTTATGAAAGATTTGACCGCAGTGTGTAAGAATGATAAATTCACAGCTATGTTGCCCAAGGAGTTTCCAGACAAAAGTCCCAAGTGACAAGAGAAACAGTACTAAACTCCAACAGCCATTTGGAACAGACAGCCCCCATACACCAAATTTTTTTAATACAGTAAGACCCCGCTTAATGCTGTTTCGTTTTAATGCTCTTTTATTTGAATTGTGGGATTTCTCGAAATTGCCCGCAGTGTTAGGCTTTGCAATATCCAAAGCAGTTTATCTGTGATACTTCTTTTCTTCGGTGTTACACAAATGTATTTTTATCGTTTCAAACATTTGTTGACATAGTATAAATTTATATAATATAATGATATATATTATAAGTATAAATTTATATAATATAATGATTGATATAATGATAAATATTCTGATTTTTAGTTTTTAGCATGGGTGATAATACAAAACACGGAAATAAAACAATAAGAAAAAGCATTTCACTAGAAACTAAAATGCAAGGGATTAGAAGATTAGATACTGGTGAACGTCAATCTCAAATTGATGCTGCATTAAGTTTGGCAACTTCAACAATAAGGACTACTCTTAAGAATAAAGAAAAAATACTGTCATCGGCAACTGCAACTACAACACGCTCTGACCCATTCTAGAAATAATACAATAGAGGAAATGGAAAAACGACTTTCTATATGGATTGACGACCAAATCGAATGCAATATATCATTGAGCACACCTATTATAATGAAAAAAGCAAGAATAGTTTTTAATTACATTCAGGTTGAGGCAAGTGACACAAATAAAACTTTCGTTACAAGTTGAGGATAGTTTAATAGCTTTAAACATCAAAATAATCTTAATAACATACAGATTAGAGGAGAAGCAGCAAGTGGTGATACGAAAGCGACAGCTGAATTCCCAGCGACATTAAAAACAATAATTCAATAACCTCAATACAATAGAGGAAATGGAAAAACGACTTTCTATATGGATTGACGACCAAATCGAATGCAATATATCATTGAGCACACCTATTATAATGAAAAAAGCAAGAATAGTTTTTAATTACATTCAGGTTGAGGCAAGTGACACAAATGAAACTTTTGTTACAAGTCGAGGATAGTTTAATAGCTTTAAACATAAAAATAATCTTAATAACATACAGATTAGAGGAGAAGCAGCAAGTGGTGATACGAAAGCGACAGCTGAATTCCCAGCGACATTAAAAACAATAATTCAATAAGGAAACTATCCTCCAGAATTTGTTTTTAATGTTTTGAAAAAGAGTGCCAAAACGAACATTTCTATTCCATAAAGAAACACTTGCAGCAGGACTTAAAACTGCAATAGATCGCTTAACACTTCTGGGTGGTAATGCAAGCGAAGATTTCAAATTAAAACCACTACTTATTTACCATTCCAAAAACCCAAGAGTATTGAAAGAAATATCCAAATCAACTTTACCTGTAATTTGGGAGTCTAATAAAATATCATGGATAACTGAAAATTTTCCAGAATTGGTTCACTGAATATTTTTGCCCGTCTGTTAAACGCTATTGCGAAATTAAAAAACTTGAATCAAAAGCACTACCTTTAACTGATAATGCACCAAGCCATCCAATAAATTTATCTGACTTAATAACATGCATTCCAGTCAAAGTGGTTTTCTTGCCGTCTGACACAACTGCCTTAACCCAACCAATGGATCAAGGCATTATATCAAATTTTAAGGCTTATTACCTTCGGCGAACATTTAGACAGATATTTGAAAAAACAGATGGAGAAGAGACACAATCAATAAGAGAGTTTTGGAAAAACTAACAATATCATGAATGCTGTAGAAAACATAAACCTTTCTTGGAATTAAGTAACAAAAAATGTTTGAAAGGGGTGTGGAAGAACATTTGGCTAGATCTAAGCAAGTGTGGTGACACTGCACACTTTGTTGATATGAATGAAATAGTAGAATTAGAGAAACAAACTGCTTTAGATGAGGTGAATGTAGAAGGTGTCAAAGAAATAGTCTAAGAAACAGCAGCAAGTCTTTCTAATGATGCGCTCAAGGAATTAGTGGACCAAGAACACACAAAAATATTGAAAGTAGTGATTCTGAAGCAGAGCAAAAAGAAATTTCAACAGCATTTCTAAAAACCAGTTTGCCCACTATAACAGAAATTATGGACCAATTTATTGAAAATGACTCAAATTTTGGCAAGAGTTCAAAGGCAAGAAGGGGTGTTATTGATGCCTTACCCACTTACCAACAACTTCTTACAGAACGCAAAAAGAAAACGCAAATTACATTAGATACCTTTTTGATAAAAAGGCAGAAAATTGGAAGTACAGAAGAGACCGAATGATCTGAAATGTACACATACTGACTTAGAATTTTATTTATTTTTATATGTATATTCGTTTATTATGTTTCTATATTTGTAAGAAATAAATTTTCGTTTTATTGTTATGAAAAACATAATTAATAAATTTAATGGTAAAATATCTGACCAATTTTCTACCCATGTTCCCCTAACCCCATTATTTTGCATGATGAGATAACCTTGTTTAATGCTGCTTCGTATTATGCTCTACTTTGATGGAACGTATACTCCACATTAAGTGGGCTGTACATTTCATCTCAAAATTATACAATGTTTATATTTTCTTTCATTAAGTGGTCCTAAACTTCAGTGTATTTAATCTATGGAAAGAAACTAATAATAATTTTTCAGCTCTCTAAATTTCTGTTCCATATTCAGACAGTTTTAATCTTACAAAGATATTAGACAATATAATGAGAATACAAATACTTACAAGTAATTTAATATATTATAATTACTAAGAGATTTTCAAGAGAAAAATCAAGAGCTTCTGGGAAAAATCAAGAGCTTCTAATAATCCCATACTTTTCCTTAAATTATGCAAATTCAGTGAAAAATTTAGGATTCCTCAAAATTCTGCTATGACAGGGAAGATAGAATATTGTTATTAGCAGTTGGGACATTTATATATGAGAGGATTTTACACTGCATGGCAACACAATTCAAAATAATTCCTAACTGACTTAAATTCACTTTATAACGCACAATTCAAGTTATTGAAGTACTTATAATCTGATTCTGATGAAAAATATATTAATATTTAATTAGATATTCTAGATTTTATGGCCCCTCAAATAATTTCATTCTGCAATTTTTGTACATTTTTATATTAAGAAAAACCTGAGTAGCAAAGGAAAAAACCTTTACTTATCAAACTTCTAAATACAATGAAAATGCACATACTATTGTTTGAATAAATTTAGTAACGGCAAAGTTCTATGAATACCTAAAATTGATTAAGACAATAATAAGAAAAGTCATCCTGAAAATCACTATCAATAAGAGAACAAAATTTACACAATTTAAGTGTCATGAATTTAATCAATTTCATTTGTTTTAAGGAAACATTTTCCTTTAGTAAAAGCTAAAAACTAAAATTGGAGGATAAAAAATTGAGAGAATTGGCAGCTATGTATTTTCATACGCTATAAACTGATTGTTTGTTCATTATTTCACTGTTAACTCAATCCACTATGGAAAAAGCTAAACTATTTTCTGTTGGTACAATTTCAAGACAGCTCAAACCTTTGATCAGTGCTTGATTTTTAATCCTCAGATAAAACTAAAAACTGGTGAAAATTCTCCCAAAGATAACCAATTTTTTTTAACAGTCTTTTCATTTATATCAGGGAATTCTTTACAAATTTCAAAGTATATATTCCAAAGTCGTTTTACACATTGATACATTATGGGAAATGTGGTCACAATTCAAAATTGATTCTCTACATAACAAAATCATAACTTTGTGAAAATTCAAACTACGTGTAAGTGCCTAATATGAAAACTTAATCAATTTACTTTTGCTCCATGAAGCTGCAAAGAAGTTTCAGAACTATTTAAGCACCACAAGATGATTCTTTCTATAACATGCCAAAATGAGCTAAAATGAAATATAGTATTTTATAAAAGTTTAAATTTATTATAAATAAACAAATATTACATATTTTTAATAAACTATTTATTACAAAAATTCTCTTGTATTATTGTTGCAAAACTTTAAATAAAAGGAATAAACAATATGTAAAATTATAAAATTTTAGCATTCAATTCCATTTAATTCAATTTTGGCCCCTCAAAATAAATAAATAATAATAAACAGTGACAAAAAAGTGTTTTTTAACCTACTTGTAATGTTTTTGAGTGTTAGATTTAAAAAAATACATTAAACATGTTATATTAAAAATAGATAGTTCACATATAATTTCATAAATATATTATGCTGTAGTTGAATTATTCTTCAGTAATCCCATACTTTTCCTTAAATTATGCAAATTCAGTGAAAAATTTATGATTCCTCAAAATTCTGCTATGACAGGGAAGATAAAATATTGTTATTAGCAGTTGGGACATTCATATATGGGTGGAAAAATAGAGATTACTTACTACTTTTCACAAAGGTCAATTTATTAATTTACTGTAATGTATTAATCATTTTATGTACAGCATCATATTATTAGTAATTATTTCTGGGTGATTAATATTTTTTGGGTGATTAATAATATATTATTTCTGGGTGATTAATAATTTTACAGAAAGCATTATATTGTATATCTATAATACTCAAAAGTATAAATCTATAACTGATTGTCATAGAGATAAAATATAATGATCAAAAGACAATAATCAAGATATTGTGTATGCTTCACGAACAAAAAGAATATGTTGCTATTTTATTTGTTCCTACTGAATAGGATTGCAAAACAAATATAGATATATCTCTCTATATCTATATACTAGTGTGGTATGAAGTAGATCTACCTCCCCGTGGTGTACCCCAGGTAACTTCTTGCATGGTAAAATTATCTACTGCTCTGTCAAGGGATCCAGTTCTCAATACAAAATTCTGAGGATTTTGCAGTGGAATGCTAACAAATAAAGAGACAGGAACTTCTCCATTCATTACAGACCTATGATATTGATGTTTTTACAATCATGGAGCCGGTTTTAGAAGTTCAGAAACACATAGCATTATTAAACAAGTCCTACAGGGTTCGTACACATTTCTGCACATGGAAATTAAGGACCATAATGAAAAAAATTAAGGAACTATGAGCAAATAGGAACTGAATAAATTCAATTGAAAATATTATCTATGCCTGAATTTCACTTTCGTAATACCATTCTAAAAATAAAATAGATCCCAAGTACTATGCACTATTACTAAACAAAACATGAATTAATTAACATAATTGTTAATAAGTTTAAGAATAAAATAAACTTTATGCAATTTATCAAGTAGCATTAAAAATCTTACACTTATAATAGTTGGTCATATTTGAAAGAAGATAAGTGAAATTTATGTTTTACTAACAGTTAGCTTTATGTTGATTTTTTTTTTTTTTTTTTTTTTTTTTTTTTAATGTTTCATTTTGTCACATACTTGGTCAGTCTAGAGGTTTAGTAAATAAGCAGGTAGATTTTATGTCAAATGGCACATGATAAAATAAGAAATAAGATTATAATCAGCATGATTCATAACAAAAGACTGAGTGTTGTCACCACTGCTGTTTGTCTAGAGAGAGAGACCTGCTGATTCGAACAAACCTGAAAGGCCTGATGTAGGCATGGTTGGGCAAGTGTTGAAAGTTAGTCAGGCTCTGTTTGATGTAGTTATTGTCGAAGCTTCATGTACAGTTTCAGGGGTTGTAAACCTGTTAATATAGTTTCCAATGAGCCATTAAAGCACCAGAGGTCATAAGTTGATTTGTATTATTTTAAGTCTCAGTAGATGCAAAGAATAAGTTTTACTTGAATTTTTACATTTTTATATTTTATCTTGTGACAACAGTGAGTATTAATGAAAGGCAATAACTCTCTTTTATATGTAGATATAATTTAACAGATTAAGAGTAAGATGTTAGTTATAAATAATTAAATTAGGTAGTTTGATAACCTTAGTCATTATGGATTTACATGACCACTATTAAATTTAATTTTTTAACAATATTTGTTAAAAAAAGGCCTATTAAAATCAAAATCTAATAAAATTTCACAGTTTAAAATACATGTAATTTATGACACAGATTCTTAAACGATATTACGATAATTACACATTACAACCTACAAAACATAAATGTTTTGTAACAACAACACTCAACAAAATATTTATCCGTTATTTTAATTTGAAGCCTTCCCAGACATTTTGGCAAGTTTATATTGATTTCCTTGTCTTTAAGCATCTTTTCTAACAATTACAGATTTTTCTTAATATGCAAACCAATGCTCTCGCTAGTTTCTGTGTGCTTTATCTCCTAACTTGTCAACTTCTCCACAATGTACCTATGAGGGTTTAATTGATCTCGTAAAAGTTAAATAGTCCAAAATCCCCGGCAGACGTGAAGCATATTATCGCTATGTCTGAAATTAACTACAATATTAGACAAAAGGTTTAAGTAAGCCTCTTGTTTAAAAAGAACTTAGAACATAAAGACATGTTCTGATGCTAACAAAACAGCTCACGGTGACATAATTAAACAAGAACAGTCAAATTCAAACTAATAATGTGGACTAGTGATCAAAGATTATATAATTTAATTTTAATTTAATTTGGCTCAATAACTCTATCATATGAGGAAATAGAAATGGGAAATTATAGTAAAGGCTGAAATCATAAACAGTTGGGTATTTTACATAATAATAACTGCATATATCTGTGAAGAATAATTTTCTTTATGTATTCAGTTTCTTTCTTCATCACATTTCCTTTTCATTTTGGAATTTTTGGATTTAATTAAGGATTTCTGTTATTCTAAAAAATACTAAATGCATTTAGAATGTACAGAAAAAGCGGCTAATTTTATTTCTTTAGTAATATGAAGATTCAGCAGAATAATGAAATATATATAGTAAAGGCCGATTACAGAGCTGATGTGGCAGAATTTCTAGAATTTAGTAACACACCGAACAGCAAAATCTAGAAATGGCAAAACTTTTAGAATTTAGAGCAGGCATTGGTAGCAGAATTTAGAAAGGCACTAGGCAGCAGAATTTAGGATCCACAGAGATTGCATCAGGTGGGAAAATGCCTAGTGCCAGTTATGTGTATGATGCATTTAGAAATATTAGATGAATCTTTTAAATTGTAAGTTTTCAGTTTCTTTATTAATACAAAAATCGCTTTCTATAATGCCTGCCCATGTGATAAGATGCCATTTTTGATATTTTCCACTAGACACATCTAGTGAAAAGTAGAGAAAATAAAGAGAAGGTAAACATGTTAAGATTCTAGTATCAGAAGTAAAACATTCAAATATTATGTTTTCATTGTTCTTCCAGATGTTCTAAAAAAAGTAAGAAATTCATTGCAAACATTCTGTAAAAAACATCCATTACGTGTTGATACCCTGGAGACATTTTTCATTTTGATACATATTTCTCGAATCTTCTAGAATCGTGAATCTATAAATCTTGTCTTCAAATCCTTCTAAACTTTTCAAGCTGCAACGTCTAAAATCCTAAAGAAAAATAATCCCTACAATTTCTGTAACAGCAAAAAGCCAGAAATATTTTGGGAAAAAAAAAAGGAGGGAAAAAGTATAAAATTAATTTTATAGAGAAAACTGATGCACATTCTGAGAATTTTGAATATTCAGAGACAATTACATGGGAAAAACTCTTACTATGAAAAAATAAGACATTTTTAATTAATTACATAGCTAATTTTGCTTTTGCTAAGAGCGGTTTCATAAATTGTGCTGTATAGCATTATACCTTATTTATTTTTCAGATTCAAAATATTGTTTAAGTTGCCAAAATGAAACTTTACAATATGAGAACAAAATATAAAAATGTTTTATTTTTAATGTTATTTTTTAAATACAATTTCAATATATTACTATTATTTTAATGAAATTTATCAATGTTACGATGTTTTAAAAAAAATCGTCGAAAAATTCTGAGATCTCGGAATTAAAAAGTTTCTATACAAACTAATCTTAAAATCGCCAAAATGTTGAAAAGTCGTCAAATTTAGAGCCGTTTAATAAAAGAATTCACATCCCCAAAAGCGAAAAGTTGTTTAAGAGCTCTTTATTAGAAAAAAAAAAAAATGAATTTTGAAATGCTTATGTTTCACTTCTTGCCTAGAAACTTGAGTATCCCATCATTTATATCAGAAATAGAAACAAATTATAACTCATGAACTCATTCAAAAGATAACCATATATACAGCAGTGAATCGCCAAAAATACTCCTCCAAAATGCTAATTCACACTCAAAATGACAGTCGTAAAAACAGACAAAAATTTCAAATGATTAAAATTAAGGACCTTCTGCTGATTTTGGTCAAAATTAAGGACTTTTAGGGGCCAAAAGCGATTCCAAAAAAAAATCTAAGGACTTTTATGGACTCTTAAGGACCGTACGAACCCTGGTCCTATTAATGATGCTATGAACAAAAGACTAATTTTATCAGCTGTCTTAGTTGACTTTTAACTTGATTGGTGTCTTTAGAACATCATTGTTGTGTTGAAGGAAAATCTTCTTTTGAAGCTCTCAGATGATATTGGCATTCATTCAAACATGTTTAAGTGGTATTACGGCCTTCTGAATAATCAATTTTGTAGGGTTAAGTACAACTGGTACTCAAAATACAGAGCTCTTCAAACAGGTTTTCTGCAGAGAGCAGTCTCTAGCTGCTTTCCTTTTAATATTTATATTAATAATCCAGGTAATTTAACTGAAATCAATTAACAGCATTAAAACCCCCTCAAGACCTGTAGGCTGCCTCAACGTGGCACTGGTTGGAACAGGCGAAGTACATCGAGAGTGTAAACTCCTGGTAGGGCCACCCAAGGCGTGAAAGCTATTCGACTATACCCAGCTAAAGCCTACAGGCATCTGAGCTAAGTCAGTCCTGTACCATTGGTGCTCGAGTTTCAC